AGCAGACTCAACCCTCTTCCTTCTACCTTCTTAGCAGCATCAAAGGGTCTATAGCCAAGAGGTAGGGAGTCTTGCTCAAACGTAGTATTTACATATGCATCACGTATGTGCATATGTCCCTGTGTGAGTTTACGAACGGATTAGTGGTGGATGTGAGCTGCCTGATGTGGGCTCTGTAAAAGTAGCAAGCACTCTTAACTGCTGAGCCATGTCTCCAGCCCCCACATGGAGAGATGACCACAGAGGCATTTGCTTTCTCTTAGGCATGACTGCTAGTTTTTCGCTCTTCCTCCCGAGCCAGCCAGCTGTGGTGGTCGGAAAGCTTGGTCCCCAGTTGATTTAACTGTTTGGGAAGGATTAAGAGGTGCGGCCTGGCCTCGTTGGAGGAGGTGTGTCACCTGGGAGGCTTGAGGTTTCCAAAGACTTGCACAGTTCCCAGCTAGCACTGTCTCTGCCTCATGCCTGCGGGTCAAGATGTGAGCTCTCGGCTACTGCTCCATGCAAGCTTACCTCCTGCGGCATGCTCTCTGCTATGATGGTCTTGGACTCTAAGCGTCCAGAACCACGAAGCCCAGATTAAATGCTTTCATTTATGAGTTGCCTTGGTCATGATGTCTCTTCACAGCAATAGAAAAGTAACTAATATACTAGTGCTCTCTTTCAAGTAAGTTTTCCCATATTTTTATTCTTGTGAAATGGTATCTTATGTATCTTAGGCCTTAAACATACTATGGTAGCTGAGGATGATTTCTGATTCTCATGCACTATCACATCAGTTTTTATGGTGGAGGGGACCAGTCCAGCCCTTGACAAACTGAGCTAAAGGACTGAAGGGCATCCTTGGGTCTAAAGGACTGGGCATGTAGCTCTGCTAAGAAGTAGCTGAGTTTGCATACAGAGCATAGAGATGATATGACGGAAGGGGCAGATACAACCCATGGAGTGTGGAGGCACCAGCAATGCTTCTCAACCCCTGGGGGGGTCATAGGTATTAATTAAGACCATCAGAAATATCAGACGTTTACATAACGATTCCTAACATGAGCAAAATTACAGTTAAGAAGCGGCAAAAAGATCATTTTATGGTTGGGGGGGTCACTACAACATGAGGAATTGTATAGAAGGGTCACAGCATTAGGAAGGTTGAGAACCCCTGAGCTATGCAGACAGTTCAAGTATTTGCTTTTCTTAAATTTCATGAAAAGATGCTTAATTTCAGCCGGGCAGTGGTGGCATACACCTTTTATCCCAGCTCCGGAGAGGCAGAGGCAGGAGAATCTCTGTGAGTTCAAGGCCAGACTGGTCCACAGAGTGAGTTCCAAAATAACCAGCACTATACAGAGAAACCCTGTCTCCCTGTCTCAGAATAAATAAATGCTAAATTTCTGGGTTTTTTTCTTCCTCCTTGTTGTTTGACTCCCCCTGCCCAAATTATTTAACTTCTTAGTTCAAGTGTAGAGACGGCACACTATGTGTGTGACATCATCCTCTTGGAGGTGGCCCACTGTGTGTGTGATGTGGTCTTTTTGGAGATGGTCATTATTTCAAGGAGCATCTCAGGCCTTGTGGGCGGGGAAGTGGAGCTACTCCAGGGAGGTATTGCTGCAAACAGTCTCTTGGGAGAGGCCAAGCTAACTGGCTCCACATCAGGGGTCAGAACCAGTTTCCAAGATGAACATTTCCTGCCCTACACACATAGCAGGCTCTTTCTGTTGTAGACATTTAGTCCCAAATAAACACACAGAGGCTCATATTAAATGTACACCGTTTGGCCGATGGTTAAGGCTTCTAACTGGCTCTCTTAATTATTAACCCATTTCTATCAATCTGTGTGTGTCCATGTTGTCTTGGCTTACAGGTGATGCCCAGGCCTCTTTTGTCAGGGTCCATGAAAAAGAGTCCATTTCATTTTGACTAAAGGTCAGAGAGTTTTAAAATGTCAGCCGGCGGTGATTGGCACATACCTTTAATCCCAGCACTCGGGAGGGAGACAGAGGCAGGCGGATCTCCGTGAGTTTGAGACCACCTGGTGTACAACAGCTAGTTCCAGGGCAGTCTCCAAAGCCACAGAGAAACCAACCCTTTCTCCAAAAATCACAAAAATAAATAAATAGATAGATAAACAAATGAAATAAAAAATGTCCTTACTTCTTTAAGTCTATAGCTTGTTGGCTACAGGATGATTTGGCCTTGATGGTGGATGCCTCTTATCTAAACAACAATAGGCTTGGGCCCAGGTGTGTTTACTCTCAACCCTGAAGGCCACATGGCAGGTGTGGCTAGCAATACCTGGAGAATTAAGGGAAGAAAGTCTCTTTGCCCCTCATACGTGATGAAAGACCGACTGTCTTCTGCCATTTTGTCCCCATTGCTGGTGAGAGAATAAACCAGGGTCTTGCGTTCTTAACCCCTTTAGCTAGCCTTTCTCTTGTCCACATTGCCCCCCTCAGATACGAACCCCGCTGGCTCCGACTGCAGCCCCGCAAAGACAGCTTTCGTGTTCCATTGCGACTCTCTCTGTGTTCCTCTTCCCAGAATCCTCCTAACCTGGTGGCCCCGCCTACACTTCCTGCCTGGATACATCCTGCCTCTCCATTGGCCACAGCAGCTTTATTCATTAATCAATAAGAGGGAAACATATTCACAGCTTACAAAAGGACATCCCCCATCATTTTGTTGTTGTGTTTATTTATTTATTTGAGGCAGGGTCTCGCTACAGAGCTTTGCCCATCCTGCAACTCACTCTGGCTTTGAACTCAGAAATCTACCAGCCTCTTCCTCCCGATGCTGGGACTAAAGGTGAGTGCTGGGATTAAAAGTGTGCACCACCATGCCCAGACCATTTCTTATGACTTAGGTTCACACTGTAAGGAATGGAGGACACCACACAGAGATAGGGACATATCTTTGCAACGGTAAAGTTGCAAAATCATTTGCCTGTGAAGGACATGCCATTCCTCCTCTCCTTCCTGTTCCCAGTGACAAGGTCAGGTCCTAACAGGTGCAAGGCAGGAGCTGGTGATCACTGTGTTGGGTTATCTATGGTCCTGTCAGGCCCTGGCCATGCACATGCTTGGAGGTAGTCAGGCAGACTTGGTAGAGCTTTAGACAACTTAGTGGCCACACAGAGAGGACATGTAACCAAGAGAGGGTGGCCTTACAAAAAATTACTACAGGTGGAGATCAAAGCAATTATTTTCTAAAACTGGGAGAAGGTAAGCATGCTCTCCTTCTGTCTTCCCCCTCCCTCCCTTCTTTCTTTCTTTGATTTTTCAAGACAGGGCTTCTCTGTGTAACAGCTCTGGCTGTCCTGGAACTCGCTCTATAGACTAGGCTGGCTTTGAACTCACAGAGATCCCCCTGCCTCTGCCTCCGGAGTGATGGGATTAAAGTCATGTGCCACCACTTAGCTGAGCATGCTCTTTTTCATGTTCACCTGGGCCCAGGGAATGCAACAGGCCTTTACGTCCCATTGAACCAACGTCTTAGCCAGACAGAATTCCCTACCATATGCCTGATCAGGAGGCTGTGCTTTTAAGATCCAATTCTTAGACAGGCGGTGGTGGCGCACACCTTTAATCCCAGCACTCGGGAGGCAGAGACTGGTAGATCTCTGTGAGTTTGAGGCCAGTCTGGCCTACAGAGTGATTTTTAGGACATCCAGGACTACACAGAGAGACCCTGTGTCAAACAACAACAACAAAAACCCACCCCCACCAACAAAAATCTGATGTCTTAACAGAGGAGCCCAGATAGAGGCCCAATGATGATAAAGATGGGACAGTAAAAGGAGAAATATGAGGTCACGCTTCAGAAAGGGTCTTATAGGTGTGTGTGGGTGGAGTGTGGGGCTATGTGTGGACATCCTTTCTAGCAAGTGCACTTAGGAGGGCACTTACAATGGGGGCAAGCAAGTGTTACTATCACTGTTTTACTGCTTCTGTTATCAATAAGGCCCCAACTCTTCTAAAGTTTCAATTTATTTAAATTAGTTACTTCCTAGCCTCCATTTTAAAGAAACTAAGTGGTCCATGCCTATGGAGAGCAGTCTGGGACAGGCAAGAAAGCTGGGGATAATCCTTAGGCTGAGGGATGGAGAGATGGCTCAGTGGTTAAGAGCACTTGCTGCTCCCAGCATCCACATGGAGGCTTTCAAGCATCTGTGAGTCGAGTTCCAGGGATCCAAAGACATCTCCTGGCCTCCTTGAGTACCAGGCACGGGGAACACAGACATACACACGAGCAAAACACTCATACATATATATAAAAAGTCTTGTTTTGTTTTTTAAAGACATAGCCTGAACGATTTTTTTCCATCCAGGCTGGCTCCTGCTTTTGAACCAGCACCTTTAGAAACATCCCAGAGAGACCACCAGAGACCATGGCTGTCCTTCACCAACATAGTTTTCCTAAGGAACCCTGGGCAAGAGACAGGCTTCTTTTCTAGAGGGGGGTGACTTAAGAGGGAATAGGGAACCTGGTTGTTCACCTGAGTGAGAGCTACAAGGAGTCCTCTGAGAGACAGGACAGTCCAGAGGGTAAACGGCTTATTTTCTCTGATCAGAAATTGGAGACTAATACTAGCCATGATGCAGAAATGTAATGAATGGAACATTACAAACAAAAACAGCTATGGGAAGAGGAAGTGGGCAGTAGAGAATGTCTGTAGGAAAAGCAGTTACTATAAGGGGAACTAACTTTGTCAAAAGGCATTTTAAGAAAGGGAGGATGGAAGGTGAGGAGGAGGAGGAGGAATCCTCTTGCTCATCCTTCCCAGGGCCCCAGCTTCCCAGGACCTGGATCATGAGCTCTACTCAACTCCAGCTGCTGAGTGTACAGAAGAGCTGGTTCTTCAAGGGAATGAGGCTGGGCCCCAGGGCTATGGGCCCCTGAAGGACGCATGTCAAGGGAAGGGACAAGCCTGGGCCCTGTGTTTGCTCCTCAGCCCCCACAGGCCCAGTGATGAGATTCATAAGTGGAGACACATGGGAGACAGAACATTACAAGTGGGCATGGGTTTTTATTCTCAGTGCATGGCATTGGTTTCTGCTCATCAGCAAAAAGCTTTATTGGTCAAAAAAATTACCCCTTTCAAAACTCCTCCTCTTCCCGTGTCAGTGAGACGATACATTTGCATTACAGGTTTGTCAGTTTACAGCATCCCCCCTCCCAAGAACCATATAAATACATGCAAAACGTCATACATAGAGCTTAAATAATATCAAATGCAAATGCAGATTGGGTGCACTGTTAAGATGAACTGCAAACTATGGCAACACACTCTAGGATATACATTGCTTTGATATCATCATGTCTGTCATGCAGACTACAACAGTCAATTTTCTGGTTTTTTTTTTTTTAATTTTTATTTTTTACAAAAATACCAGTGCTCATTATACTAGTTACCGAGAAGAAACTCAAAATTCCTATCTGCATGCTGATTAGAAAAGATGGCATAGGTCAATTTGTTGGCACATATATATGGCATATTTCCATATGGCATATATACATAAGGGGAGAAAACATGAACCAAAGGCCGATGGAGTTGCGGGGAACTCACCTCCCTTCTCCTCTCCCAAGAAGAAGAAAGGGGACAGCAGGCCTAACTACAGAGCTGGGCAGGCAAAAGTTCTGGCTCTGAGCTGAAGGGAGGGAGGGAGGGAGGGTATCTGGTCTCTACTGGGATGGCTTTAGAGCATCAGGCATGGTAAGTGCCCACCCCCACTAGTGCACGGGGTGGGCCCTAGACGCAGAAGATGGCTGAATGTGCGGACTGCAATGGTACCTACCACAGGTAGCTTCAACTGTAAGGCAAGGGATCGGGAGAAAGGGAAGGATACAGGAGAGGATCCAGGCATGGCCCTCTGGATTTTCGGCAGTGAGGTAATCACTCTGACTGATCTGTGCAACTCTCCCCTAAAGCTTGAAGGAAAACAGGAATCCAAACCCAAAGAATCCACGAGTGCCCAGAGGGAGTCTAGCTGGTCTCTCTTACATCCTGTGGGATGGGAAAAGCGCTTTGAAGGACAGTGTAGGGCTGTTGAGAAGGCTCTAGCCCTCAGACTGACTGTCAGACAGAGCTAGAAGCAACCATTGCTGTATTTGTCTTTTCCAATTGGGAGCTCAGTCTCCCGTCTGCTGTAGTATACAAAATAGGAAGGTGTCACAACTCAGATGCACGCACAAAACCTCGCTAATAGGGGCCACTCTAGGGGGAAGAGGAAGTGCAGGAGTCATAAAGAAACGCAAGCCCCACCCCACGTCAGAGTTCTCTTGCCGACCAGGAGAGACGGTCATTGACATCACTCTGCCAGCTAACGCCTCACGAAACAGAAGCCCAACTGGCCCTCACCCCTGGTTACCAACAAGCCCGGCACAGATCCATGGCAGTGTACATCTGTGTCCTGACAGATGAGAAGCCTCTTCCTGGGTGTTTCCCTCACTACCTGCAGGCTCTTACCCATTTTTCTAGGTTTATCAAAAGACGGCTCTAGGGTATGTTCTCTTTGTCCCCACCAGACCTCTTCCAAATCCAAAGCACCATTTAGGGGAAACTGTTATTAACTTCTATCAGAGTTACTCACTGCCACCTGGACCACTGAAACTGAATAGAAAAAAACATATAAAAACATATGCACAGAAACACTTGAACTTACTCAATTCCATATCAACAAAATTTATATTAAAAAAATCTAGAACCCAACAATTTCCCCCCCCCTAAATATAAAGATGGCTGTTTGGAGAAAGGAAGTATGGTATATTGGTTGTTTTTTTTTTTTTTTTTAACCAATTACAAATATACTGAGCCACCTGTCATGTCAAACAGCTGGCTGTGTGCTCCCATCTACGGTCTTCCATGACGGCATTTTATTTGAAATTCTTTAAACAATATATATATATATACATTATATATATATATGGCTGACTCAAAAATATTAGTTTCTGGTCTAAAGAAAACTATATTTTTGCATAATATTTCTATATTTTTTTCTCTTACTATGGAAACTAGAACACACACACACACACACACACCCACTATTGACTTTGAAAAAGTGGACATGAAGCCCTCGAGGGTGACCTGCCAGGCACCACAAAAGTCTCTTAGGAGCAAGGATGGTAGGATGGTATAATGGCCTTCGGAGCTTGTTATCGGCTTGCTTTTTAAAAATTATCTGAGGTAATAAAAGAGTTGACGGAATAAAATCTTCTAATGTACTTAAACAGGTGTGTGTGTGTGTGTGTGTGTGTGTGTGTGTGTGTGTAATTAACAACTTGAGTGAGCTGTATTTTCACCATGAGGATAGACTGTTGAAGTGTGTAAGCTTCCCAAAACCCAAATCACAGCTCCTCCCTATTTCCTATAATGATGGATTATGCTGTAATGGGTGTGGGATGGTGATTGTTTCTTCACTCACCCTACCTTGGCAGCTTGGGTGAAAAGTGAGGAGGGAGGAAGATCTCCGGAGGAAAGGCGAGGAGTGGACAAGTTCATCTTGCCTTTCCCTCCCAAATGGAAACCCTGCAGTTCTCATGAGCCTCGTGCATTCTCCTCTATTCCCATCACCCTCGAAAGTGGGAGGCGGGTTTCCCTGATGTAATGGGAGTTGGGATTTAGGGACATAAATTTGGTCCACCTGCACAAAAAAAGCTTAAATTGGCATAGCAGAGATGTGGAGGGAGCTTCCTCGTTGTGCCAGCTCCTGAGAGGTGGGTGGGCAGAGGATGTGTTGGGCAGTGTTCTGGGTGAAAAGGCATTGGCTTTCCTGGGCATCAGTGGAGATGCTCACGGCTGAAGGCTGGAGGAGGTGGTGTGGAAGAGGAGAGAGGAGGCAGGAGCTTTCCCGGGAGAGCCCTTTGCTCCTTGATGGAACACTGTCTGGGAGCCTCCTCTTTCAGATGTGTTTTTTCAACACAGGAATATTTGCAGAAGTTGGGGGGCCTCCTTAGAGGTGGAAGATGTTTCGGAACACAACAAAGCACAGAACTAGGCGAGTGAAGAGAATGTCAAAGCTGGTACTTAGGCACCCAGCCTGAGGGGAGGTTTCTCACATCCCGATGGATTGGTACTTTAGCCCCTCCCAAGGCTACTTAATACTTATTACCCCAACAATCGTCCCCTGCCCTGGGGGAGCCTGGGCAAATACCCTTGGAAATAGTCTGCTTCAGTGATTTCTGGTCCTAGGCCTGCTCCACGTTGGTCCTGAAATTCTTCGTTCAGCTAGGACACAGGGTTGCACCCCATTCATTCTCTTGCTCCCACCTTGGGCAAGGCGAAAGCCCAGGCCTATGGTAAAGACTATATATCCCACATATGCAAGCTTCATGGTCATGGCGGATTTCCCCGGCACTTAAACCCCCCCGGCATGCCCAAGAAGATAGATAGATAGTCAGAAGTTGGAGCTGACCTGGTGAAAATAGGGAAATATTTCACCAGTTCGTTTGCTTCAAAAAGACCATTTTAGCAAAGAAATCTGCCTGCTTCTAGAACAAAATGAAAGATTCTATTGGTACCAGAAGAGGCCAAAGTCGACTCAACTTGCCCATGTCCTTTCCATTCTCTTAATTACCACAACTTTAAAAAAAAAAAAAAAAGCAAGAGGAAGGATGATAAGGGTCATATAAGAACTAAAGAACCTTGGGGAGGTCAGACTGAAGGGCAAGGAGAGCTGGTGGCCTTAGGATACATATTTTCAGAATAGGAAAAAAAAATGTTCTAAGAATAGTCAGTCTACTGAAACACAAACACAGGGCATTTGTCTCTCCATGAGCCCACAACTTACAACTTAGCTTGTAAATGGCAGAGATTCATAAAACCTCCGAGTCATGAAGTGATGGCACGTGTGGGAACGCTGTGGAGACTCTGGGTCGGGTGATGCCAGGAGGGTTGTCATCATTTCTTTAAAAAAAAAAAAAGACAACTGGTACACCCAAGGAGTACATCTACCATTGCCTGCCCAGGGTTTGACAGAGCCCTTGTAGGTCTATGCTCTTGTTTCTTCATGGCCAGGTGGGGGTTCTCACACACTTAGGAGCAGCTGACATAACAGTGACAAGTCCCATCATCACCTTATAGATGGGGCAGGTGATAAAAGAAATAGGGAAAGCAGGGACGGGATTCGGAGAACGGAAGTTCAAACTGACGTCTCCAGGCTTTGCAGAGGGCTGTCGGCGTGGGAGGCAACGATTTGCACTTGGTTGCAATCCACGGCATTGTTGTTTTTGTTGTCATATGGAGTGGCCTCACCATCTAACAGGAGCACCCTAGTCCCCGCCTTAGGAGCCGACTCAGGATTTTCCTCTTGATCATCCTGGAATGACTTCGCACAGTCGTCATCTGCGTTGTATCCGGGCTGGGTCATGAAGTGGTGGATGGAGTGTTGGTTCTTGCTTTTATGAATGGCTCCACGGAAATTATGGAACACTCTGACCACTTTGATCTGGACCAGGGGGACGAGAAAGAGGATGAAAAGGTAGGCAAGTGAGAACTGGCAAGCAGAACAAGAAAAACGAGTGGTTTCAGGAAAGAAACAAAACCCCAACCACAAAACATGATGGCTCAGCAACCCAAACCATCACACGCCTCAAATCTCAAGCACAAGGTTGTGAGTGAGTGAGGCACACAGTAAGAGCATTTCAAAGGGTGCATTCCAAAAAGTAGCACAGAGCAAACTTAGCATTCCCAAACAATCCACTCTTACAATGAAATCAAACCAAGAGGCTCATTAGTTCTTCTGGAGAGAGGACAGTGTCGGAACTGGGTGACATTAATGAACACACTTAAAAGACAATCCACACAGGCGGCTTTCTGTATTGAAGCCAAATCTTTTGTGAATGTGGGATGGGAGAATTACACACTGCAGTTTTGTTAACTGTTTAAACCCCATCAAAGAGCCAACATTCACCAATCTGCAAACAATAAACACTGGGTGACAGGTGATCGTGGGCATTGTGCAGCCAGGCAGACAAACCAATCTTCATTCCACAGCATGCAGGGAATTAAAAGTCCCTAACGTTTCAGTCAGAAAACATGCACATATTTGTACCCCCACAACCTACACTCAGAAATGGAGTCCCCCCCCCCCCCCCGGTCTATACTCTCCTCTCCCAAAAGATGCAGGTAAAACACAGGTGTCAACAGAAGCCTTGCCCTGCCCACTGAAGGAGGTCTGGTGTTCACCATTCAAGTGTACATCTGCAGCGATGTTGCCCTAACCCAAGGTGTAGATTCATGCTGTTTGCCCAGCCATTTGCATATTGTGCAGAGGGCTATGACCTTGTGGGAAGAAGGGGAGGAGAGAAACTTGATCCGGGAGGCCGGCTACCAATGGCTGACTTTTCTGACAGGACAGTTGAAAAGAATGAAGAACGGAGACACTTTGCAGTGTCCCTGGGTGAATGGGCGAACACACCGCCCTGTCAGTCTTTGGTTTACTACCCAAGGGAAGGGACTCAAGCTGTCGGGGGTCCGGAGAAGACCAACTGAAACCGATCGATCCCGGGAGCAGCTTTTGCTTCATCGGGCATCAACTTGTTCGGTGTTTTTGCCGTTGCTTTGCTTTGCTAATTTTACATTTCTGAGCTGCGTCACTCAAGTGTTGTGGCTTAGAATCTGGGCTGATAGATTGGGGTGCAGTGTGTGTGTGTGTGTGTGTGTGTGTGTGTGTGTGTGTATGTGTTGCGTTGGATGCCAGAGGGGACAGAGGAGGGAAACCAGGAGACGAGGAGAGCAGGGTGGTTATAGGATGTTTTTTGTTGGGGGAAGTGGTCCATCTACTCTGTTTCAGATATGATCGCCCTCAAGGAACAAAGGAGAGGGATGCAGAAATTAAGGCTGGGAGAAGGTTAAGGAGTAACGGGTGTCGGGGTAAGAGAGGGTCTTTTTTAGTCTTCTGTGGATTAAATAAATAAATGAATAAATGAATAAATAAATAAAAATCCCTGAAGAGGCAAGCGCACAGAGGTAGCAGCACACACAGGCAGCCAAATAAACCATCCGGGTCGCCTGTTCCAGGACGTATCACTTTCCAGATCCCGCAAAGATGCTGCCTACAGCAGTCTGACCATCACAACTGTGGCTCTCTCTTCTCTGGCTAAGGCTGCCCTTCCCTGGCCTCTCTCCTCTACAGTCACCCACGACTGGCGTGTTCAGAGCGTGGAAGGCAAGGGACTCTGCCACCCCATGGTCAGTTCCACACGGCAGTGTACATAAGAAGCAAGCATGAAGGCATCGGGAACGCCGTGGGGCGACAGCGAGGGCCTGCTTTCTTTCTGTTCTGTGGTTCTGCTCATCTTCTGGCGAATTTCAGCGGTCAGGTTGCCCCAGCTCAGATCTGTGTAAGATCAGGCAGAATGGAGCCCACCTCTAACCTTTGCGTGGTCCCAAGTTTTCTGTAACCTGAACTTGAAATATTTGAGCAAGACAGGTTAGATTAATCGGGCTCAAACCCAATGCCTTCTCCCTTAGTCCTGATATAAATACTTTGACCAAGGGACAGGTCGAAAACCACCTCTCTGTGGTAGGTATGGTAGCAGTTTTTGTTTTGTTTTGTTTTTTATCTGCCATTGTTGTCTTCACATTCCTCAGAGTCAAATAGGAGTGAGGGTAATTTTATGCCACTGGCTTGTTGTCTTCTAGACTAGGGGTTTTTAAATTTGTTGCTTCTAGGGTTTGTTTGTTTGTTTGTTTTTAAAGCAACTGGACCCTTTATTGCAACAATTACATGGGAAAGTCCATTATAAAAGGACTTGATTTGTGAAAGTTAGGGTCAGAGGGTCTGAGCCTGTTTCCTGACTTTCCCTTTCTCCTGTGGGGGCAATTAATAGCACTCTTATGGGTTAACAAGTGAAGGAGAGATAAGCAAGATAAGCAGGTGGGGAAAAAGGGAAACCTTTGGGGGAAGCCAAGAGCAGTCATTCAGTTAGAGTTCAGGACTCTAGAGACCAAGGGGAACCGGCTACCTGTACGGGAGCTCAAGCTAGGAGTCAGCGCGCCTGGCCCAGGGGGTGAGCCAAAGGGGGGGATGATAGGGGCTGTGCCGGAATGCTCAACTCCAACTCTGGCTCAGAGAACATGTGCTGATGGCCAGTCACATGGTATGTCACCAGCCGTTCCAGGGCTGGCATCCTGTGTGCCTGGAGCACTGGTGGAGCTGGTATGGGGCAGCCCGAGGGACTTCAGGGAGGTCGGGTGCACAGTTGACATCATTTTAAGTGCTCTGGAGTGGACAAGCTAGAGAAGAGCAGGCGTGGCCTGTCTCCTTCGGTCTGAACTTTTGGGGGCTCAGGGCGTGGGGGATCTACCAGCTCCTCTGGAGCTACCATCGAGTCTCTGGGGCCCTTTCTGCCAGGGAAAGGAAAGACTAAGCAGGACCGAAACTAGTTAGAAGGGGATGGCAGAATTTAGAGAGAAAGGGGATCAAGGGAGGGACTCGAAGGACTAGAGGGAGAAACTTTTTGCACTTTGCAGGACGAGGCTGATTTAGTGCCTTGAGGCCTGCCTCTGGGCCTAAAGACACAGCAGATATCGCTGCCACCTCCCATGCTTATTCCCAACTCATACCAGAAGTCTTATGGGGAGCTAACAGGCAAAAGCAAGGTTAAGCCTGGAGAACCTGGTCCGTAGGCAATGCTGTGGGGAGGGATGGGCCTCCCTCTGCTCTCCATTCCCGGAAGGTAAAAGGACCAGCAATGGGAAGGAAGGCATTCGCTAGCAAGTGGTCAACAATCTGGGATGCTGGGGTGACGCACACCACCACATGGGGTGGAAAAGGTGTATTTCTGCTACTCATTGTGAATGAACCGGCTCTTGAACTGGAGTTCTATTTAAGGTCACGCCTGAGAGGTAAGACAATACGGGTTGAACTAACTTCCCCTCTCCAATCTTGTTGCCAGCTAACAGCGCAGCAGTAGCCAAAAGGGCTGCAATTATTGAACAAGCTCGGCATTGGCTCCATCAGGACAGGCCCTGGTTAAGGACAGAGGCTTCCTCGCCCCCCCACCCCCAGTAAAGAGACTTCCTAGGTCTTCCTTCGTGGGACTGACCTCATGTCTAGAGAGGCAGACTTAGACTCAGAAGAGGAGGAGAGGCAAGACAAAGCAAAACAAAACAATTCAAGAAAAGCAACAGCAAGCTATGCAGAGGAACAATCAGAAAATGGGATTATTGTCTTTAAAATAGCTAAGGTTTAATAACTTTCCAACATTTAAAAAAAAAAATCAAAATGAAACAGCCTGGTTTTAGCCGAGGCTGGGGGATTTTTGTTTTGTTTTGTTTTGTTTTTTTCTTCCTTTAGGTCCAAAAGATCAAAGAAAGGGAAAATGAAAAGGATAAGTGACCACGGAGGGTTAAAGTGGCTGCCACGTGCTCTCATGTGGTCTCGCGTTAGCAAATCATGCATGGTAACAGACTCTCACTCACTGCCCGTAGGAGGAGATGTACCAGCAGAACAGGTGGGAGAGGAAGGTTTGACTGGCACAACTGTAGCTGAATAGGAGCTAGGAACCAGTTTTACATCAAGGTGTTGGCTCATGTTCTGTCGCTTTAGGGCTCCCTTAAAAGAGGCTCCCGTCTGGAATGTGTTAATTACTTCAATCTGTAAAGAATCAGAGAGTGAGGCAGCCAGAGAGAAGGGAGGGAGAGAAAGGCAGGGGCAGGAGGGGGGGGGGAGACGGGGGACGGAAAGCAAGAGACCTTCCCTCAAACCCAGAGCAGCGGGTGGGTGGGTCGGGGAGGGCGCTAATTGCACATCACACTTCATTTAAGGAACAATTTGCTGTGGATTTTCAAACACCCAGCTTTTCTTTCTCCTGTAGCCTAGGGTGGACAGGTGACCTCGAAAGGCCTTTAAAATGTAAAGGAACTTCTCCCTACCACTAACAGCTAGGCAGTAGCTCATTTGCCATTTTGAACTGTACCCTTAAAAATAAGGCAGCCCATTCGATACACTAGAAGCAAAGAATATATTAGTGAAATTTAAGGCGCAGGAGCCTGGACACCAACTAAGTCAACCAATTACTTTTACAAAATTTCCAGGAAAATAGCGCACATTTACAGAAAAAAAAAAAAAAAAAAAAAAAAAAAAAAAAAAAGGGCAGTCTGGTAGTCCACAGAGTGGCCCTGGTGGAGACTGCTAGACTGAGTGGCTTAGTTTGGATGAGGTGCTTTTCATGAGTGGGGTTCAGGTGACCTACTAGAATTCCACTCATTGCATTATGTAAGTCCTGGGGACCCTCTCTGGCAGACCTGCTGACAAGAGCTCAAAGGTCCCCGAGAGCTGGCACTCCAGTGGCCAGTGGTGACTGGAGGCTGCAGCTAACAGTCTACCTGGAAGGTGTATTAGTGCACTCAACATCATCCACTCAGTCGGGTGCCAATTACAATGACATGGGCGGATCTTGTCAATGGTGCCTTTTTCCCCCCTTGAGACAGACAGGGTTTCTCTGTAGCTCTGATGCCCACTCTGGGATTCTACAGACTAGGCTGGCCTCAAACTCGTCAATGGCGTCTTTAATAGGCAGACTCTAGAGCCCAAGTTTAGGCTTTTGCTTCTCTGTCTTGGAGGTAGGATCTAGTTATATAGCCCAGGCTGGGCTGGAACTAGGAACCCTCAGTTTCCTGAGTGCTGAGATTATAGACATGCACCACCAAGTTTGGTCTCAAATTCAAGCTTTAAGGTCATTCTGAGGCAGCTGCCTTATGTTCTAGCGGGGAAAGAAGTATGCCTAAAGTTACATGTGCAGTGAGATTAAACAGGGGAGCATAGGTAAGGGATGGAAACCGGTAATAGAGGAGAGGGCAGCCCATGAATCTCAGCTCCCCAGGGGGAGACTGGCAAGAAGCAAGGAGGTTCTGGAATGAGGGATCCTGGCTAGGGAAAAAAAAACCAAACCAAAACAATCACACAGTAGAAGAGGAGGCAGGTGACCCTGAAAGGAAGAAGAGCAAAGAGGTTATTTTGAAAAGAGCAGACCCAAAGGACAGCAGCGGGGGCTTTGGGGGTGGGAGCCAGGCGCTATGTTCTACAGTCACCCAAGGGACTCAGGGGAAGGCGGGTGGGCAGAGGTGGGGACTTGATGTCATGAGGCAGTCTGCAGGCCACAAGTAGCTTCCCTTCCTGGCAGAGAGCGGAAAGGAGCCCCAGAGTCCCCACCTGTATCTTGTCCCCCATTTTGTACCCGGTGTGGTGCTCAGGGAAGGACAGTTCCTACTGCGCACACAGTTTACAGTGTGCATTCCTTTATCTTCCCTGTGTACTAAAACAATTTTCTAAATCAGTCTAAGGCCAGTTTTTGAAAATGAAATATTTCTGGGATCTCTAGCCAAGTAGTAGGGGGAAACAGGCCTTGCTCTGGAGAGCCCCCTCGAGATCCTGGAACTGATGGTTTGTTCAGGAATCTTGGGAATAAAACAGTAAAGGGATGAAGGGTGGAACAGAGGGAAAGCATTGTCAATGCCAAAGCTAGCCCGCTCACCCAGAGTAGTTATACAAGAAAAGTGGAGGGGAAAGGTTACTGTTAGGGCTACCAGCAGGGGACTCTCTTGTACTCGATTCCAGAAATTACAAGAAGGGAAGGGGGTTAGAACACAGGGCAGTCTCTTCCTCTTTAAGAAACAGGTATGAATCTTTCAAAAGATATCAACCGAGAGACTGTAGTTTATAGCCTTTCCCAGAGAGGCCCTACAGGCCAACGCAGGCCTGTGATTTTCTTTAACGAAGGCCTCCCCAGATGACAGCTTTCACCACAACAGCAGCAGGAATGTCCCACCAAGTGGCTCAACCACTGTTGGTTCAAATTTTATAAAAACAGGGACTCTTGTTCCTTCTTTGGGGCCAGAGAAGGACAACACTGTCCATCTCCTGGGGTCAAGAATGGTGTTGGAATGGCCCTCAAGTGGGGGGCATGGGGGGGCTGTAGGGCTAGCCACAGCTGAGCAACTTCTGTGACTAGTGACCCATGGTCACTAATGTTGGCTATTACCTGCCAGAGGAGTTCCATGGAGACCTCTGGCCTTGTTGACCTTGAAGCTAGTGAGCACAGGCTGCAGTCAGCCTTGGGATGGGGTAAGGGTGCTGGCTGGCTGCCGGGAATCGCCCCTTCCCCACCCTTTCCCAGGATGGGGAGATTTCTTCTCCCAGGGTAAGGACAAGCCACTACAGAGTACCTGAGTCTGGATCCGGTTCAGGCCACGGAACCAGAGGATCTGGCCTCTGCGCAGCTCCATCTCAGCAAGATCAATCTCATCCATTCCCTCGGCATCCTTGGTGATCTCCTCCTTGTCAGCGCCATGTCCAGCCTCCTTTAGGAACTTCAGAGACTTGGTAGGTATGGCAGAGATGACCTGAGAGCAGTGGTAGCAAAGAGGGCAAATTGGAGAAGAAGAGACGTTAGCTGGCCTGGTCCAGTCCCTTTGGGGGCTCCTCTGTCCTACACCTTTCCCGCCAAGACAGCACCAAGAAGCACCAATCTGCCCGGAAGAGTAACCAGTCATTCCAACTGCCAGCTCTTAGGAAGGTGCCAGTGCTCTCGGACACACAGTAGGGAACTTAATTCCCACAATCTCTCAGCCGTGTGTCTTCCTACACTCACTCTGCCTCTCTGTCTCGGTTTGGTTCTTCCTTCCCAGTGTGATCCTTGTCTTTTTAGACAACTAGGCCTACAAAGCCGGCACAGGGCGGAAAAGGAGTGGGCCCCGGGGCAAACTGAGCTGGGAGAAGAGGAGGAGGGCTCACGGGCGGGCGGGCGCTTGAGGAGCTGAGGGGCTGGGAAAGGAATAGGAAGACAATTAGCTAACAATCTCATCCCTTCCTTAATCCTGTCCTTAGCTTGTGAAGGGGCGCTAAAGGATTCTCAGCCAAGTCTTGAGATCTGCAAAGAACGGCCCAGGCCAGAACAAAGGATGGTATTAAGGGAAGGATGAAACTCTTAGCTAAGCTGGCATTCTTGTAAGCAATACTCACACTTACCAAGCACTTATAACAGGTATTGTTATATTTTTTTTTTTTTTGTCTAGTGACAATTAGTGGTGACTCTACTATCCTGGGTTGAGGTCCCCGATAAATGGAGTGGTTAAGTAACTTGCCCATGGCTACTCAGCTGGTGCAAAGGGGAAGGGATGATTCAGGCCCTTCTAGAGGATTCCAGAGGCTGTGCTGATCTATGTGTCACTCCTCCTCTGTAGAGCATGTGCAGTACTGATTTATCTCAGGTGGCAGTTGGGTAATCAACCAGAGAAAGCCATGGAGACAAACCACACTGAGGAGGGAGGGAGCCCTGAACCACATCGGGGCAATAGCCCTGGCTAGACCACTGCTCCATCAGAGTGACATCGGCTCTGTGAACTCTTCTACTGTTTTGTTTTGTTTTTTTTGAGACAGGGTTTCTCTGTGGCTTTGGAGCCTGTCCTGGCACTGGCTCTGTAGACCAGGCAGGCCTCAAACTCAGAGATCCGCCTGTCTCTGCCTCCTGAGTGCTGGGACCAAAGGCGTGCACCACTGCCCAGCAAACTCTTCTACTTTCAATGGAAAATTTCTACTTCTGTTTCAAAAAAACAAAAAACAAAAAAGCTAAGTTTTTGCAGAGAACATAAAACCCTGAAGTGAAGGTTGTGGTCACCCCAAGACGGAAGGAGCCTGAAGCCGTGATGGCGGGAAGAGGGCGGGGGGTGGGGGTGGGTGGATAAGATGGAACAAGATGCTGTAGCCACTTGTCCCTCTCATTCTGAGGAGGGGTCTACAGCCTTGAGGATCTGCAGAGGACACCCCGTACTCACCTGGCCCCACAGAAGTTCTCCAATCCCTATGAAGAGACACCACAACCACTGCTCCAGATTGAGGCTTGTACAGCTGAAGGGCTTACCCCCAAATTCCACAATGAAAATCTGAAAGAGAGCAAAGGTCAGCCGCCATGAGGGGAGCATCTCACGGCAGTCAGCCAGCCCTCCACCCGCCAAGACTGACGAGGTGGCCAAGGCCACAGCGCCTCCTGCAGGGCCAGAGGGGCGTAGCCGTGAACAAAGGCAACAGATGCAATCATTACAGAGCACTTCAATGGGAATCATGCTGCCACTGTGACTGTCCTGGCAGTGATTAATGTGTGTCTGGCCGGAGTGGAGGAAGTTGGAGGCTCCCTGCGACTGAGGTCAACGGGGCAGGGAGAAGGGACTGCAGAAGAGCTGGGAATGGGGGTGGAGGGATGGGTCTGCAAGGGAGGGGCTTTTCTGAGCGAAAGCCAGCTTCTAAGATTTATTTTTAAAATTTTGTGTGCGCGTGTGCATGCGTGTCTGTGAACCCGCACAGGCGTGTGCATATGTGTGTGCGTGCGTGTGCGTGTGTGTGTGTATCTGTGTCTGGGTCTATGTCTGGGTCTCTCCTATGATCCACGCGCCACAGAAGCCAGAAGAATGGGTCAGATCCCCTGAAGCTAGAGTTACAGGTGATCATGAGCCAAATGATGAGGGTGTTGGGATTCAAACACTGGTCCTCTCTTACTGCTGAACCATGTCTCCAGCCCCAGGAAGATGCTCTTTTGTGCTGTGATCTGCCCATAATCCTTTGCAGCCACATGTCTTGGTGACCCTCTGACTACGGCAAGAAGGGAGGAACTCATCTTTCCACTACTTGCTCTTGACCCTATCTCCCGTAACAAACAGGAGCCCGGCCGGGCCAGGGTTAGCTCAGCGCTGCTACCTGTCCACCAACCCATCACTCTTCTCCTCTGTGAACTGGCAATGGTTTCAAGCATAAGCCCATTCAGAACTAAAGGGCATGTGTGCTGGCAATGGGAAGGAGGTAAAGGACGATGGCCCTTCTCTTGGTCACTATATGGAACGTCTCTGCGTGTTTGGAAAGAACACAAAAGCATTTTACAAGTCATATTTGCAGGTAACATGCTACCTCGCCCTGGAGCACCTGACTGGGCCCAGTTCTACAACCAGGCGCATGTGGGAGCAAACCGGGAACCCCAGAGTGTTTGCCTGCAGCCCTGGTCCCCAGAGCTCCCCCTCTCCTCGTCCTGGCCACATTAGAGTCCTGGCTCCCAGCCTCTGGCTCCCAGCCTCTGGCTCCCAGCCTCTGCCCTCCATCCCCCAGCTCCAGGTAGGATCTCACCTGGCAGAAGAATGTGCCTATAACCACGGAGCAGAAAATGATATTGCGGTAGATGCCGGCAAAGACATTCTTCTCCCCGTGGATCTTCCGCGAGTTGATTTCGTTGAAGAGCTGCATTAGCACAAAGGTGTTGAAAACGATGGTGTAGTGCTGGCTGGGTGGCGAGTGGAGAGGCGCTTTTCTTCCGCTGTCTATGTCAAACAGCTGCTCACCTGGTGGGGGCAGGGTCAGTATTAGAGGGTGGCCTTGGTCTCAGTGAGGGTTCAGGTTGGGAAGGGACATGTTGGGACAGCCATGCTGGTGGCTTCTGGCCATTAGAAAGTCTATTCTAATTGGTCAGCTTCTGAGTTACACTAGCTATTGAGCATCTTATTTTTGTTTGTTTGTTTGTTTTGAGACAGGGTTTCTCGGTGTAGCTCTGGCTGTCCTGGAATTCACTCTGTAAACCAGGCTGTCCTCAAACTCACAGAGATCCGCCTGCTGGGATCAAAGGCACGTGCCACCGCCACCTGGCTGAACATTTTGGTTTTTTTTTTACAAATAAAACATGTAAAAATTACTTCAGACATATGTATTTTATTTTACGTGTATGAGTGTTTTGTCTGCATGTGTGTCTGTGTACCCCGTGTGTGTCTGGTGTTGCTGAAGGTCAGAAGGGGGCGTCAGATCCCTTGGAACTGCATTTACAGATGTAGATGCTGGGAGCTGAACCTCTCTCTCTCTCCAGAAGCAAGAGTGCTTTTAATTGCAGGACTCTTTCTCCAGGCCTCGTTAATGAAGCACTTTAAATGTTGCCTCTGGTCTCGTCTGTCAGTTAGTGCTTGTGTCCCTGTGATTGTGCAATGTGACGCTGCAGTTACTCTGGTCTGTACTTCACCATCTACTGCCCTGCCTTCTCCCCTCAGCCATCCTCTGTGCCTTACAGCTGTGGCGCCCAACAGCTGCTCCCCTCCTGCAACTGGGGCTCACCAGCAAAGACTAGGACGAAGACGACAGTGAGCTGGTACACTGCGTGGCCCAGGATGTTCTTCATCATGGTGCGCGAGATCAGGGGCTTGTTCCTCCCGTAGGGGCGGCGCCTCAGCAGAGAATCGGTGGGGGGCTCTGTGGCCAGGGCCAGGGAAGCGAAAGTGTCCATGATGAGGTTCACCCACAGCATCTGCACTGCTTTCAATGGAGAATCCTGTGGGAAGGAGGACCGGTCCCTTCAGCTTGCTCCAGGAAACAAGCTGTCTCGCTCTCTAGCACCGCCATTCCCTTGGGGTGGCTTAGCTTGAGTTTGGCTACCCAGGTACACAGTGACTTTGACAAATTTATATAACTTTGGGCTCATCTCTAGGAGGGGGAAATAACATCTGCCTAGCAAGCTTGCTTTCAAAAGACAAAGGTAATCCGCGTAACTACATTTCACTTCCTGTCTATCTGTACAGACCTCAAGACCCTCTATGGTTAGCTACAAGCAAGCTCCATCCTCTGACCTTCAGTACAAGCAAGGTATTGCCACATAGAAATGTTAAATTAATGGTAGGTAAACCGTTACTGTGGAGTCTGTAAGACTGGTAGAGCTAACTGGGCAGTGCTGGGAGACGCTTTAACTCCTGATTGGGTAGGCTATACCCCCCTACTCTATGGTCCCCAGCCCTTAGGTCATCCCTGCCATCCCAGCCCTGCCCAACCTGAGTGATGCAGGCGCCAGTAAAAGCCACGATCACAGCTACCACATTGACGGTAAGCTGGAATTGCAGGAACTTGGAGATGCTGTCGTACACGTTCCGCCCCCACATCACGGCCTTCACAATGCTGGTGAAGTTGTCATCGGTCAGGATGATGTCTGACGCCTCCTTGGCCACGTCCGTGCCTGCAATACCCTGAGGTGGGAGAGGACGGCAGACAGTGAGAGCTAGACAGGGAGTGTGTGGCATACCCTGAAACCCGGGATCTAAGAACTCTGACCTCCAAGAAGCCGCAGAACCAGGCACAGGCTCTAGAGGGCACTATAGAGCTGCTCCTGGTTCTGCGGCTTCTTAGAGGTCCCTCTCAGAGCCTAACCACGAAAGGTGTGTACACATAGAGCAGAGCCCTCCTCACCACCTCTGCTCTTTGTTCTGAGGAGACCCTGGGTTGCAAAGGCCACACAATTCACAGAGAGGTGATGACTTGATGCATTTGCGTTGGAAGTGGTAAACTGGGTCCATGGCTGCTTGGTGGTAGAAGAGAGACTTACGCATTTGGAGTCTGACGTCATTGACTGACCGCCGCCCCAGATGAAGAAGTAGGCGTCTTTTAATAGTTCTTTCTCCTACCCTACCACTCCCTCAACCTTAGGATTGAAAGCGAGGGGGCAAGTCCTATCTATTCTATCTCTAAATCCCGACATTTCTTTCAACACAGGCAGAACTGAAGTCCATGTTTCCCTCAGCACCTTTACGAAAAGCGGTCTCATAGCATACAATGTTCTGTCCCTGTTCAAAACCTTGTTGCTGGGGACGGATGAAGGACTCTTGAATGGATACATGTCAATGGCTGGAAACTTTCTAGGCTGACGGTCCACGGTTTTCACGGTGACCCTGGATTCATGTTCCAATTTGCTCTCAGGCAAGCTTTCTGCTCAAGACTTACTGGTTTATTAAAAGTCCCCTGAATCTCACTCATTCCCTTTCAGAGTCCGGGCTTTTATCCCCGTCATCCTCTAAGCCTGCAGCATCCTCCTTCACTGTGTGTTAGAATCCTAGCCATCCCTATTATCCAAGTCAATTAACCCTAACACCCCAGCACATACGTTCCTGTTGTACCCAGCGTCCCTCCTCACCCTCCCTCCCAGACAGGGCTTCACGCAATCCAGGCTAGTCTCAAATTTACTAGGTGGCCAAGTGAACCTGGTGTACAGATTGAATTCCAGGGCAGCCAAAGTTACACAGAGAAACCCTGTCTCAAAAAAATGAAAAAAAAATTACAAGTAAAATAGAGTAATAAGAAAGCCGTGTGAAGATGAAAAGTCCACAGAGAGCCTGGGTACCGTGTGCTATTGTGTTTCCTTTAAATTGCTCAATTGCTAAGGAAGGAACAACAATTGCTAAAACACACTTGATTATCAATGCTGCTTGATTAATCCAATTTATATATTTTAAAAATGCTTTGACTTCAAAATTTAAGTTTGAGGACAGGTTACTGGGGAAAAGGATTTCTATTTTTGTTTCCACAGAAAATAAAAAGCTATGGATTCCTTCCAGACTAACAAGGTTTGATCAAGCCAGACCCCAGGTGACCCAACATTCAAAACAGCTGGGACAAGGCAGCCTTGCAGACCACTAGAGCCAGGATTTCTGGGTCTTCTTAGGATCCCCATGACAGCGCCCCCTACCAGCAGGAAGCAGTTTGGAAAGAATAACGCCCAAATTCCCAAATATTGTTTATAAATGTTTGTTTTTATTTAAATGGGGTTGGTTATAAATGGTTAACGATCACAACCAATCTCTTTTTAAAGGTAAAAAGGGGATTGTGGCATAGAAACGAATACTTTGTTTTGGAATGGATTTTCATTTATTGATATAAATTTAAGGTCATTTTTTTGTGATATGTATATTTCTCCTAGCTCCTTTTTAAGTTTTGTTGTTGTTGTTGTTTGTTTTGGTTGGTTGGTTTTTCCAGACAGCATTTTACTATGTAGTTCTGGTTGTTCTAGAACTCACTAAGTAGACCAGGCTGGCCTTGAACTCAAGAGATCTGCCTGCCCCTGCATCCCGAGTGCTGGGATTAAGGTGTCTGCCATCACTGCCTGGCTTATTTGATTGGATTTAAAAGCAAAGAAAGAATAATACAAAACTTAACTTGGGTAAGGACAGGAAAGGAATCCAACATTTAACCTACCTTTCATGTGTGTGTGTGGGGGGGTGCATCACCAGATAAGAACAGAGGTGAAGGGAAAATTCAAGTTAATAATAAAGCAAACTCAGCATAGTGTCATTTCACAGTCCCCAAGGAGACATAGGATCTGGTTGCTTCTAGGGACCAACCAGGCATGGTGACTCCAGCCCTCAGGAGACTGAGGCAGGAGGACTGCTTCAAGTATGAGGACAGCCTGGGCGACAGACTGAGGGGAAGGCTAGGCCATATCTCAAAACCCAAATGAGGCAGAAAAACAGAACAAAAACAAACAAAAAAACCAAAAAGTAAGCCAGATGTGGGGGGGGGCAGGACACGTTTAACCCCAGAACCCGAGACAAAGGCAGTTCTGTGCAGCCAGCCCCGGGTCAGACCCCATCTCACCTGCCATGCAAACCTGACGGCTTGAGTTTATCCTAGGATCCCATCGTGGAAGAAAACCCACTTTCAAAAACTGTCCTCTGTCCTCTGCACTCATACCGTGGCGAGTCCAGAGATGCACACTTACATAGAAGTGGGGATAATGCAAACAGAAACAAAAACCCCACTCAAGTCAAAACCAAGGGACCAAACAACATCACTGTTGCAGGAAGCCACAGAGATACAATGAGCACGCTCGTGTTACTGGAACCGTCTGTGCAGACAATAAACCCAATTCCTTCAGCACCTAACAGCTGACAAAGGAGGAACAGAGCTGTGCAGAACCTCCCAACACAGTGGCCCTCCTCAGACCGCCATCCTTGGAGAGGCTCACTTGCAAGGCTGGCTCCTGGGAATCTGGCTCTCAGAACACTCTGGTCAGCACTTAACTAAGACGAGGCGGCTCACCCACACAACCTCTTGACATTGCCACAACATTGACATCTATGAAGGCCACACTTAAAAAGGGTGCGATGGAGTTACAACAACAAACAACAACAATTATCGCTCCCCCTGGCCCCCGCCACCCCAAACTCATGGTACGTGGGGTATGTGCTGGGCCTCCTTCGTAGCTGTCCTTGGCTGCATGTATCCATCCACAGGCTGCAGGTTGGACACACTTGGCAGACTGCGCTGAAATAATCTGGCTTCCACTCCCCTTTGGGAGTCTGGAACTTTGGGATGTGTTAGGAAGTTTCCAGAAGGCCAGCATTAATAAAGGCTGTGGGAGCTGAGTGTGATGGGCTTGCCCGTGGGAGGCATCATGCACACTGCCCAAGTGTCGCAAATATGAAAGAACGAGCTCTCTTTGTGGCAGGGAGAGCACAAGGAGGCTGCATGCGGATTCTGGACCCTGCCAGCATCTGTTTATAACTGTATCCTCAGCACCCATCTGCAACAAAGACTAGCCATGTGCATACAGAGTACATAGGTCAGGTTCCATGCATCCTTCTAGTAAATTTGGGACTACAAGGGCAGTCTTTGGGACACAGGCTGATAAAAAGTCAGTGGTTCTCAAACATTAGGGCACATTGGGACCCCCAACTCCAGGCCATCTGGTCTGGTGGTATCCAAGAGTCTGCATTTCCATAGGTTTCCAGGTAACTGCTGGTGCATTAGAAACTGGGATACAGGTTTTTGTTTGTTTGTTTGTTTGTTTTTGTGCCTGCATCTATGTATATGTACCACATGTGTGTCTGGTGCCTGCCAGAGAGGGAGTCAGATCCCCTGGAACTGGAGTTACAGATGGTTGTGAATTGCTTTGTGGTTGCTGGGAATGGAACCTTCATCCTCTGTTAGAGCAGACAGTGCTCTTGGGCACTGAACTGTTTCCCCAGGCCCACACAGGGTCCACTTTAAGAGCCCCACGGATGCCTCAGACAGCCATGATGTGTGGCTCCTGTTTGGATTCTGACTTGGACAGATAAACCAAAGGCCATTTATGAGTCAGTGAGGGAGATTTAAACCCTGCCTAGAATTTGACAATAGGGAGGAACTGTCAGGGTTTAAAATTATAATTCTTTATATACAGTTTATTGATACATGTTATTTAGAGATTGACTACAAAATAATTTGGAAGGATGGAGGAGGATGGGAGTGGTTTGTAAAGCAAGATGGGCCAGGTTGATAATTATTGAAGCCCAGTGACAGGCCTATGGGGGATTCATTATATGACCCTAACTTCTTAGGCATACTTTTAAAGCTTAGAATTAGTCCCAGCACCCATGTTGGGTGGCTCACAATTGTCTCTGTGAGCACCAGAATACTTGTGCATACCCACACAAAGACAAGCATACGTGCACACAATTGCAAAAAAAAAGAGCTCCACAAAGACAGGTTATTTTCTTTCTTTTTAGGACAGAGCCTTACTATGTATACAAGCTGGTCTGGAACTGCCTATATAGACCAGGCTGCTCTTGAGGCTGAGATCCTCCTGTCCCAGCTCCTCAAATGTTGAGATTATAGGTGTGCATCTCCAAACCTGGCTGATGGGGAATGTTCTTTTGTACATATGTTTGTCTTATTGGTTGATGAATAAAACACTGATTGGCCAAGCAGGAAGTGGTGTAATATGACAGATACTGCCACTAGCTAACCATAGAGGCCTGGAGGTTTTTACAGACAGGCAGGAAGTGATGTAGCTGGGCAGAATGAGAATGCAAGCAGGGACTAACAGGAAATCGCTGTCTTTTCTGCAGAGATGTAGCAGGCAAAGGAGATGCGGGGCCGGCATTCCCGCTAAGCCAAAGACACGTGAAAATACTTAGATTGATAGAAATGGGTTAATAGTTAAGTCAGAGCTAGCCAATAAGAAATGCTAGTAATGGGCCAACAGTCTCATTGGGCTGACGCGGCTCTGGGACCAGGTTGGCGGGAAACTGCTTGTAACACCTGGCTAATATGATACTGGCGTGCGTGTGCATTCGCACACACACACACACACACACACACACACACACACAAGCATATTCCTAAAATCCGAAGCAAGATGCCTCTTTGGGATATTTGACTTATAAAGGGACTCGCCACAGGTTCTGATCCTCACGGCACAGCAATGGACACATCCTTATGTGGAAGCCACATTTCCTGTGACTCACACAGGCAAACGGCATGGCCACAGTGCTCTTGTTTTCCGGGGTGAGGTGTTGTGCATTCCCCCACAGCTCCCCTCTGCTTTTCACACACACCGACTGGCCAGGCCAGCGGGAGAGACGGAGGTAGGAAGAAGAATGCTGGCGGTGTGGGAAGGTACAGAGGCGGAAGCCTGTCCTGGTTCCTGGCAGACAAGGTGACCCACCGGAGACCCTGGTGGCGCTTACCATGGCAAAACCAACATCTGCTTTCTTCAGAGCAGGCCCATCATTTGTCCCATCACCGGTGACAGCCACCACCTGCCGCTGCTCCCCAACGGTGCTGTCGATGATCCCTGGGGAAAAGGCACACACAGCAGTGAGCACACACACACACACACACACACACACACACACACACACACGCGCGCGCGCGCACACATGAGCGCATCTGAGGCTGCGGTGGTCTGGAAGAAAACGGCCCCCAGAGGGAGGAAGAGTGTCACTGTAGGGGAGGGCTTTGAGGTCTCCGGTGCTCAAGCTGCTCCCAGTGTCAGCTGTAGGGCTCTGAGCTGCCTCTCCAGCACCACGCCTGTCTGCACGCCACCATGTCTCATTATACTGATAATGGACCGAACCTCTGATCTGTAATCCACCATAATTAAACGTTTTCCTGTATAAGGGTTGACATGGTCACGGTGTCTCCTCACCGCACTAGAAACGCCAAGACAGAGGTCACGTGGCAGGTACTGTTTCCTATGAAAGGGACACTTTTAGTCCCCTTCCCTGCATCCCCCATTCTGTCTCTGCTGTCCCTCCTTCCGTTTCCCTCTCTACTGCCAGGTCTACAGCAGCCATCCACGGGCAACTGATTCCACGAGGTCACTCTGAGCTGAGAAAGCGGTCTTCATCCAGGACCTCACACAGCATCTAGGTGGCTGGGAAAGCGTGCGATGCCTCTCAAGGCAGACATCTGGGTTCAAGTGTACCACTTCAGCCTAGCTAGGGACTGACACCCCCGCCCCCCAGCCTCAGACAAGCTGTGATGGCCCACCCCTTAACTCCAGTACTTAGGAAGTAGAAGCAGGAGGATTAGGAGTTCAAGGTCAGCTTCAGCTATATAGGGAATTTGAGGCCAATCTGGGTTACCTGAAAACTGCCCTCCCCTCCCCAAATGGTGGCTGTTGGGAAAATCACAAAGCACCTCACCCAGAGAAGGAAAGAGCTCTGCGGTGATGTTGTTTGCCTGTGTGAATCCCAGGAAATAGAACGTGTTCGGTACTGCGCTCTTCCCATGTGACGCCATGAGTATCAGAACCTCTTGGCAAGCTCCTTTGAAAGTCAGATATTCCAAAGCCTGGCATGGTGGCGCACGCCTTTAGTCTCAGCACTCGGGAGGCAGAGGCAGGCGGATCTCTGTGAGTTTGAGGCCAGCCTGGTCTACAGAGTGAGTTCTAGCTGCTACACAGAGAATCCCTGTCTCTAAAAACAACAAATAAAACAAATACATACATACATACATACATACATAAAAGTAAACTATTACAAAGAGGCATCTTGGTTCAGACAACAACAAACAAAGAACCCCCCACAAACTCTACTAAAACCTCAAACCAAAAATCTCCACTCTATTCTGTCACATACTTGCCAGGGCTCAGATTAGCCTGGGACCTGTCCTTACTAGGTCTCCTAGGTCTTCCTTACTAGAGACAGGAGAGTGGCTTGGCTAATGTCTGTCTTTGTTTGAGACAAGGTCCTATGTAGCTCAGGCTGGCCTCAAACTCACTATGTAGCCATAGATGACCTTGCCCTTTGGATCCTTCTGATCCCACCTCCTAGGATCTGGGATTACAGGCGTGTGTAACCATGTCTAACTCTTCAATGGGTATGCTTTTTCTGTCCTTTTGCGGGGGGTGGGGTGGGGTGGGTAGGAGGAGTGTTGGGAATTGAACTTATGCGTATGCTTTCTGCTGCTGGCCACGCATTCAGCGTGGCCAAGGATGGCTCTTCTGGCCTCCTGCCCTCATGAATGGCAGGCACACACTCACAGGCTGACCTCACCTTTCACCAGCGTGTGCTTGTCGGTGGGAGAAGATCTCGCCAGCACCCGAAGTTTGGGCCAGATCTTGTCCAGCTTTTCTTGTTCGACCTGCCAATACCAGAGGCACCCGGATCAGGTGGACCCAGGGTACTGCTCAGTGAGATCTTACCCCTGCACATAATGCCAGCTTCCAAGAGCGCTAGAACTTCACAGCCCCCGAGGGACCCTTAGCCCCTGGCCTCTGGGGAGATGGTATAGCCGGTATGGCTTCATTGATGGTGACCAGGCAGGCCCCCCCCCCTTTTTTTTCCTTTTCCCTCCCAACTTCCTATCTGGGAGCCAGCCCTTATTTCTTAGCCCTTTATAGGAGGAGGTCAGGGTCAACAGCTGGCTCGAGCTTCCAAGGAGCTGCTGGGGTCTTCGGTCTGACTCCATGGCGCCTTGGAAGCTTTACTCTATTCCATACTCATGCTGCATCCAAGCGCCAGCCCCTGACACGCGCAGCCACAGGGCAGTGGTACTGGAGGGCTGGGGTGGGGTGGGGTGCGGGAAAGCAGCGCAAACATCATTCTGAGTTCAAAAGCAGGAAGACAATGAAGTCAGTGATTCTGAACCCACAGGAAACTGAATGAAGATGAGACAACTCCCTGTTCACCGTAAGAGCGGCTGCGGTGGGAAGGGCTGTTTCATTGCGCGTAGACTCCAGTTTAGACTCCAGTTTAGAAGCCGCCCACTTGCTCCCCACAAGCCCCAGTACTCCCCGCTAGAACCAGCCATTCCCTTGTAAGTGGTGCCCCGGCTGCTCCCTCTGTGGGCCTACCTCGCCCTTCTCATTGCGGATAAGCCTGTTGAATTCTTTTCCTTCTAAGCACAGGAAGTCATCTCCAGGGGTCAGAATGCCACATTTGGTGGCAATGGCCCGTGCTGTGTTGACATTATCACCTGTCACCATTCTGACAGTAATGCCAGCCCGTTTGCATTTGCTAATTGCATCTGGCACCTGAGGAGAGCGAAGATAAAAAAGACAGTTGGTCACGGGATTGACGGGATTGACGATATACTCGGTAGCCTGCCCTGGTCCAGCTCTGTCACTTAAGAACAGGCCCGAGGCTATGTCTGGTCGATTTTATAGGACTCAGTGTGCCCTTGCCTCTGCCCATCCCGCAGTGGGCATTCAGACTTCACTCATGATCTCACAGGCTAAAGGGGAATTTGCTTTGGGAGCCAGATGTGAACGCTTATGCCCCCCTTTCCTCCGGGTTCCCTGCGGAAGCTTAGGCAGCATCTGGCAATGTGGCCACCTGGCCTGTAGTGGTAGGATATTCTCCCCATTTTGGCCTTGACGAGCACTGGTCTGTATTGGACTCTTTCAGCTTTTTGAATCCCCCCGTGTGTGGCACACAGAGATTGCTCAAGAAGGCTATGTCATTGAAAGAAGGTGGCTAACGAGTAGGTTACCTTCGGGTTAATTCTGCTCCTGACTGTTCCCAAGGGCCACGCAATACATCCATGAGATCATCACTGCCTGTCCCTCAGCTAGAATGAGCTCTAGAGACGCCGCCTCCCCCCATACATGGTACCCCACAGCTGAGGTGGCAAGCAGGTCTTTGTAAGTGACAAGCAGGTAGGCAACAGGGTCACAGCTAGGCCAGAAATTTGCACCGGCTTTCTGTGACTCCCAGGTGGCTCCTTAGGTTACACTGGATCTGTACCCTAACCAGTGGCCAATGGGAGACCAGCGACCCTGCTTCCTTGGCCTTTCTTCAGTTTGGAAGCTGACAGGCCTCACCTCTGGGCGCACGGGGTCCTCGATGCCCACCACCGCAATGCAGATCAGCTCAGTGAGGACGTCATTCTCATTGTCCCACACGGGCTCGGTGTCATCAAAATCCCGGTAAGCTAAGCAGATAGTCCGGAGTCCTTCACTGGCCATGGGCTCAATGACATTGTGTACCATGTCGTCTCGGTCCTTGTTTCTGAATGATATGGCTTCTCCTCCCTTGTCTAGGATTCGATTACACCTGGACAGGCAGATGCATAGTCAGAACTCAGTGTCTGCCATCCATCTCTTTTCATCTGTCACCCAGCTGAGTCTTTCCACAACCCTTCTACCTCCTACAGGAGGTAAAAGTCTCATGTAGCCCAGGCTAGCCTCAAACTTGCTATATAGGTTAACCTTGAACTTCTAGACAAGGTCTCTCATCCTGGCTTTATTGGAACTTGCTATGCAGAACAGGCTGGCTTCAAACTCACAGAGATCCTATCTCTGCCTCCTGAGTGCCTGGATTAAAGGAAGGCCCAGCTTCTTTTGGTTGTTGTTGTTTTGTTTTTGAGACAGAGTGCCCTAGGGTGACCCTGAACTTGTAACCCTCTTGCCTTAGCCTCCAGAGTGCTTGGATCACCGGTATGTGCCATTCCCTGCTGGCTGTATACTTGTTGGGTTGATTGTAACAACCTCTAGATAGCTCACCTACTTTTAAAGGTATATAAAGTGTAGTCAGCATTGAGAATGAGAAAGAGAGAACAGAGAGACAGCATTGTTAGCTCTTGGTACACGCAAGGCGTCTTATGCTCACTGACTCCTTCAAGCCCAGCGAGATGGGGAGCTTCTCACTACCTCCGTGAACTCACTAGGAGATGGAAGGTTAGGCTGCTCCAGGCTGAATCCTGGCTGTGGCAGTTAGCTGCTCTTTCTAGAAGCAAGTTACACACATTCACTGCGCGTACTTTCTCATCTGCAAAATGGGTCAAAATAGTACCCACCTTGCTGAGTTTCGAGCATTGAGTAAAAGGAACCAGCAAGGTTCTTAAAAGCAATGCCTGTCCTGAGTGTCACTCGTCCTTCAGACTGGCTGGGCATTGGCCCTCGGACCTTCCTGGGGGGGGGGATCTCAAAGGGGGAAATGGGAGGAAGGAGGCTCACTTGCGCAGCATTATCTCAGAGGCGCCCTTGCTGAACATGCGGAAGCCCCCTTCCGGCTTCCCGATGACGGTGCTCATGGACTTGCGCACTGAGTTGAAGGTGTACACTTTGTAGAGCTTCTCCTCGGGTACTTCATTTCGAATTGCTTGGTAATCCTGCTTCAGATCTGTGACAAAGCCCAGCAGGGCACACTCTGTCTTGTTGCCTACCTGCCGGGGTAGGCCTCCCTCCTTTTCAGGAGGCTGAGAGAGAAAAGAGAAACAGAAACAAAAACAGACATGGAACTAATGAATAAGATATCTGGGCCAGAGAAAAAAACTGGGCAGGCAAATTTGGTAGGCATCCCAGTGCCCACAGAGGAGCAGCATTTGCTTTTGTGACCTTGACTGACGGCCTCATGGGTATTGGGATCTTACTGTGGTAATGAGATGTCTCATCCTCTGCAAGGTTTTTCTTTTTCTTTCTTTTTTAGAGATTTATTTATTTGTTTATTATGAATACAGTGTTCTGCTTGCATGTAAGCCTGCAGGCCAGAAGAGGGCACCAGATCTCATTACAGATGGTTGTGAGCCACCATGTGGTTGCTGGGAACCGAAATCAGGACTCTTAAAACACTGAGCCATCTCTCCAGCCCCCCTCCCCTTTCTATTATTTATTTATTTATTTATTTTTGGAGACAGGGTCTCTTTATGCAAAAGTTCTGGCTGTCCTGGAAGTCACTACAAAGTGACTACAAAGACCAGGCTGGCCTCAAACTCAGATCTGCCTGTCTCTGCCTCCTGAGTACTGAGATTAAAGGCGTGCGCCACCACTGCCTGGCCCTCTGGAAGTCTTAATCAAATGCTCTCTCTCTCTCTGTGTTTCTGGACCGTGAGTAATTAATTCTGGGAAAATATAAGTCTGCTGTAGGCATGAGGCTCCTTCTTGGAGCCACTGCTATAGGATCACCCTGAACACATTCAGTCAAGAGTAAGAACCAGAATGTGGAATGTCAATTTAGGTGGAGTAATAAGAGAGGGTGTGGCGGTTTGAGGGATAACGGCCCCCAGAGGCTCATAGATTCGAATACTGAGTCCCCAGTTGTCAGAACTGTTTGCAAAGGATGAGGAGGTGAGACCTTATTGGAGGTGGTGTCATGGGGGGGGCCTCAAAACTGCAAGCCCCCAATAAATTCTTCTATAAGTTGCCTTGGTCATGGAGTTTAGCACAGGCACAGAAGAATAACCAGGACGGAGAGTTATCTCTGGCAAAATGAATATTGTTCCAGGTCCCCAGGCGATGGGAAAGCTTACCAGAATCTTAGAAGTATAAGCACTGTTAATGGAAATGCCATTGACTATGAGGTCCAGAACCTTGGGCGGGAAGGCATCGGGGCTTGGGATCTGGCGGTAATGAGTGCCCCCAATGTAAGCTTGGACCACGGTCATGCGGTTCATGGTCAGCGTTCCTGTCTTATCAGAGCAAATGGCTGTGGCGTTGCCCATTGTCTCACAAGCATCCAAGTGCCGGACCAAGTTGTTGTCCTTCATCATTTTCTACAAAAGAAAAGGAAAGGATTTGAAAGAGGGTCAACAGAGCTCCCCGAAATGTAGGCCAGAGGCGAAGTCTTGGCCAATACTCCTCACTTTGTTTTCTAGTCCTACACAAAAATACAGGGTTCTGTCCCTGTAGGCTTTAAGATTCTACGGATCTACTTAAACACCCGAGTGGTCATTCCCTAGAGCGAGGGAATGTTCTTGGGGACCACCTAAAGAGTACAAAGGAAGGGCACATCGAGCCCTTCCTTTGCATCTCTGTCCCTACGGAACACATAGCATTTTTCCAATCTTACCTTCACCGAGTAGGCCAGTGAGATGGTGACAGCCAGTGGCAGCCCCTCCGGCACGGCCACTACCAACACAGTGACGCCGATGATGAAGAACTTGACAAAATACTGGATGTAGACGGGAGTACATTCAGGTAGCCAAGCTCTGCGCTGTATCGCGAAATTCTCAATCACAAAGTATAGGATCAAGATGATGACTGTGAGGGCAGACATGATCAGACCTGTCCAGGGCAGCAAGGCACACGAACAGGGGTCAGCTTGCTAGATATATATTATATTTTATTTATTTATTCTTTGTGTGTTTCGCATCATGCCTCCTGATCCCACCCATTCCCTGACCTCCCCACCACCAGTAAAATTTAAGAAAAATATAAAAAAGGGAGAAAGGGAAAATCTCATCACGGAAGCTGCGGTGTAATGCAGGGAGTCACACAGCTGAGGTCCCTGCTACCCCATCGACTCTGGGCCCTCACTGGGCCTCTTCTTGGATATACTGTCGCCGGCTGGTGTCACGGAGACCCTGCAGACCTGGGTCCACAGGACTCACCCACCTGTGCTCTAGTAGATGGTAGAAGGGATGGATGTTGGGGTGGGCCAACACATAACCGTGGTTCTGGGCCTGGGGAGTTGCAGGCTTGGTCAGCCCGCCAGCTCAGCATTGCCTTGGCTCAGTCACCGTTTGCAGCATGAGCAAGGGGCGGGGCCAGTCCTGCCACACCTACACCTTCAGGGCCAGCTCTGCTGTGTTGTTGTCCAGGGCAGGTGTAGGGGCCGCTCACCCAAGTGCTGCAACTGGTGTTTTCTATAGTTCTCAAACCTATAAGCCTTACGAAGTTATAGTAAAACCTTTTCCCCATTCTGTTCGCTTACACACAATGACAGAGGTTGTGGGGTTTGACGTTTTTATTGTGGTGGTGGTGGTGTGTGTTTCAGCAAAAGAAAGGCTCTAAAATCAGTGGTTCCGAGGAGATAGATGTTCTCAGCACGCCACCAGCCCTCATACCTTTGGATTAGTTGTTAAGTCTCTGTGGGTTGAGTGCCTACTTTAAAGGCTTCATTAATAAACAAGAGGGTTGCTGGGTGTGGTGGCATACACCTGTAATCTTAGCACTTGAGAGATGGAGGCAGGAAGATCATGAGGTCAGGCCAGTCGGATGTACAAAAGCCAAACCAAACCAAAAAAGGGACGTATGTCAGAACATGGGCATCCTTGAGGCCCTTTCTCCTGATAAACTGCATCTTCTAAGGGGGACGGGGGGCCAGCCACATGTGTGGCCCGCCACCATTGCTTTATTAATACTTCTGTTATAGTAACGAGGCAGTCGTGATTGCCCGCCATGGTTTACCCAGCAACGGCATCTGTCCACTTAGGGGTTTGCCAACTTTGACGTTCCCTCCATTGCTCTGTGAATGTCCCACACCCTGGTTACAGGGTGTCCCCACGGTGCCAGCGTAATTCCTCCTATCGTGGCACACCACGAAGATGACAATGATAGCAATGACTCTCACAGTACCTGCCATAGGCTGGCCAAGCCTTCAGGGCCACTTCACAACAGCCCTAGGACATAGATTACTATTATCCCCCCCCCCCACACCGGATTCAAAGAAGAGAAAGCCAAGCTTCTGATACAGCACACTGGTGGGGTGGCCAGTCTGGCTTGCCCCAGATTCAACTGTTTCCAGGGCTTTCAGTGAGAGAACTGAGACTGTTTAAGCCAACTGGGGTAGCTGGTCAATTTACATATGGGGAGGGGCAGCTACCCTGAGGGTTAGGGATCAATATGTGCTCGCTGGTACACAGCATTTGGGAAACAGTCTTGTGGAAGCCACAGTTTCGCCATGATGCTTCAGGGGCTTCACGGCAGGGCCACGGGGGATGGTATCAGTGAAAGCAGATTAGTTTGGTTCTGGCAAAATTAAGGCAAGGACCAGAATAAGAAAGCAAGGGGTTTGTGGTACAAAATTTAGGGATGTTCTTCCCCACTCGCCCCCCCCCCCCAGTATCCTGCTCATTTCTCCCAAGTCCTGACCTAGCTTGACAGGTGAAACAAAGCAGAGGAGACCAATCTCTAGGTGGTTCTTACGCACCCCCCCCCCCCCATGGAAGGGTGACGCAGGATGAGAACACTCGGGTTAAGGGATCCAGTTAACGCTCCTGGCCTGGGTACTGGGCTTAGCAACTGGCTTTTGTACCCACAGCTCAGCTCATAGGGTCTATACAGAAGGGTTCGAGGTGGCCAGAATGAGCTAAGCGCTGGGCTGAAAGGAATTGGCTAAGGGAGATGGGGGGCCAGGGGGGATGGGGGGCAAAGGAGAATGGGGGCTTCCTGTGATGTTTGAAGTGCTCTCACTTGGCGCTGTCCAGTAAGACAGCTACTGGACACGTGTGGCTAGTGAATATTTAGAATGCAGCTTCCCAGCAGTATCACAGTGGCTGCAGACTCTCAGGCCCTGCCGCAGACTTCCTGAAGGTAGTCTGTGCTCCAGCAAGGACCCCTGGAGAATTGTGCCCAGAGAAGCCTGAGGTCTCAGAATACTCGGTGGAGGACCAGACCTTGAGGGACACTGCACAAAGGAGTTATCCTTCCTGCTGCTCCCTCAGAAGAAGATGACAGGAAAGTGTAGGGAGAAACCACTTGTCACCCTAGCTCCCTTCTTCTGAATAAAGTCTCTCTAACCGGGTCTTCCTTGCCCTCCTGTCTTTCCGGCAGATTTACGGCTCCATGCTGGGCCACAGGAGTCCACCGCCTTGGCGGGAACTCCCTCTGGGAAGCTGCAGCCTCCAGTGTCCTTGAGGGCTTAGAGGGCAGGCGAGAGACCTTAACTTCCTTTTTGCTAGCGGGACCCTCCCCTGCTACTTGGATGAAAGAGACCTTGAGGCTATTAAACTTTATACACAAGAAGAAATATTTCTCTTCCAAAGCCCAAGGAGTGGACAAAGGCCTAGAGCCCAGGAGCCACCCTGAAGTTCCAGCTTCTGTCAGTCCTGCTTGGTGTGGCGTGAAGGGGATTGTACAGGCCAGCACACGGGGCAGCACTTTGAATCCGGAATGGGAGGCAGGCTTAGCTACTCACCCGCCTTCCCGATCTGCACAGCCAGGCGCGTGAGCTTGCCCTGCAGTACCGACTTCTCCTTCTTGGGTACCCTGCTTACTTTCTTCTCCCTCTCCTCGATGTCGATGCCCTCCTGGCTGTTGAGTGGCTGGATTTCCAAGGCCACTCCATCTTGGGTCTTTGCTAGGGGTAGACACACAAATGGGACAGGTGAGCAGGCCAGGGTGAAGTAGCGAAAAGGCAGGCAGGCAGGCGGAGGGCGAGATGCCCTTCTGTCTTCTTCCTGGGATATCCCCTAAGCCCCTGACCTCAGTTCTGACCATTTCTCAGCTGTGCCAGACGAAGGGTTCCAGTAGGGCCTTTGGGACAAATCTAACAACTGGAGATGCAGTGGAGGATGCCTTTTTTGGTCTGGGTTTCCTCTTCATGACAACTCCCTGGCACCCTTCAGAGCCACATGCCGGGTTTATAGCAACAAGGGGATTAATCACACCACTAAGGCCATAACCACAAGCATCTTTCTGGAACCCAGAGTTTAAAACAGTGAATGCTTATTGTAGAAAGGGATCAAAGGGAAAGTCTGGCAGATGTTTCTAGAACAAAAGGGTCCTAGCCTATTCTGTTAAAGCCCCCCCCCCAAATCCGGGAAGAAACACAGACCTTCCCCCCAAGACCAAAGTTATTCTTCAACTATTTATTATATAGGTTGAAGGACAAGGAAACGAAGTAGGGACACAGTGGAATATTCCGGAGGAAAGAAAAGAAGCTACCGTAAAGAGAGAAGGGGAAAACAGAGATGTACAGACACAGTAAACCCATTTATTTCCCCTTTAGAAGAAGAACAAAGAAACCTAAGATTCGAGCTTTATCAGCTTAAGCCCTGGTGATTTTATTTCTAAAGAGTACTATGATGTGTGTAACAAGGGAAAACAGCAACAACTTTAGAAACTATCTCAAGACTGCTTGTTGGTCCTCAACATCCCTCCGACGTCACCGTTTGCTTAGGAAGCCTCTCTTGAGATACAGTCTCTTCTGCCTGATGCACAAACAAGACAGATATGGGACGTAGACACAGCCACCAAGAGAAACACAAACCATATCAGGAGGGACAAAACAGACCGTGGCGAGAACAGAGAAGAAGTGGGCAGAGAGGCAGAGAGAAAAGTCTCTCTCCAAGGCCTCTGAGCAGACGAGCAGAGAAGAAATTACACCCAGAAGACAGCAATGGCACAGCTAGCAGAGGAGGGTGCAGGGGCTGCCTGGCCAGTGTCCTCCACCGTGACCTCCAAACCCAGAAACTGCCTGCCGCTGTGGACAGTGAAGCAGAGCTCAGTGCTCTGGGAAGAGCAGGTAGATCCGCGCCCCACACTCAAGATTTCTGGACGTGTGCTTCCTCAAGCCAACAGCAGAGGGTGCTGCTGCTCTGCCTTGAGCCCACCCCCGGATCTCTGCACCGTCCTCAGGATGAGGCACTGGGCCACAGCAGCAGGTAACTTTATGGAGAGGGCAGGGAAGACAGATGGCCTGGAAAGGTCTGATTTGAGCGTGGGCAGGTAGAGACGGCACACGAGTGGGTGGAGAGGTTACCTTTGTTGCGATTTTCAGAGACTCCTTGTTTTTTACCTGTTTGAACAAGAAAGAGAAAAGTGGAGTGGAGACGCAAAGTGACCCGTAAGAGACGACCCGATATAGATATCATTCCTTTGGTCCTCTCCCAGCACAGGAGCGCGACAGCGAAGGAGGTGGGCTGAAGGGCAGGGAGACATGTGTAAAGGAAGCTCTCTGTTCATCCGTCCTTCCTCAGGATCACAGCTGAGTGCTCAGACATGTGCACGAATGGACACGCCTGAGCGGCTCTTGCTGCTAGGAGAGGGGGGGGGGATGCTCTGGGCTTGAGGCAAATCTCTTGAGAAAATGGGGGTGGGAGTCAGGGAGAGAGAGAGAGGCAGGGAATGCTTCTGCCGGTGGACGGGCCCTAAAAGGCATCTCCGGGTCAATTCAACAGCGCGAGGCGAGCTTCCTAAGTGTCATCTGAGGGTGGCTGTGGAAATGAATGGCTGGTTCTGAGAGGCTGTTTCTTATTCATACACTGCTCTCTGCTAAGAACCTGAGATGATCCTTGGCCCAGTGGTAGAAACTGTTCTCTCCCCACAGGAAGAAGGAATGCTCAGAAAAGGGTGTGAGCTTGGCTTTGACGTCTGGGTCTCTTTCTCCTACAGTCCCTGCTCCAGGAGCGAGCGAGTGGCCACGACTGGTCTAGCTGCCTCTCTGGTCCCCCTCTCCCAACTGTGCTTCTCCTCTGCAGAGGGCCCGCAGTTTCAGTGGGATGCATGTTTCCTCCAAGTCACTTCCCTTTTGGCTGCAATGGCTCATTCACCCCTGAATCCATGAAGAAGAGAGGAAGGCAAAAGCAGGAGGTTGCAGGGCACTTTGGTTGGAGCACCTTGCAGCGCATCCAGAGTGGGGCTGACTCAACCCCACACAGTCTACTGAAGACGCAGGGATTAAGGCTCAAACGCAATCAGACTCGAGGGCTTTGGGTGAGGATTCGGTGGTTTCCTTCACTGCTCCTCAGAGACAAGGTTGGCGTGTGTGTGTGTGTGTGTGTGTGTGTGTGTGTGTGTGTGTGTGTACATATGTCTATATACCGTGTGTGCGCCTGGTGTCCACACAGGCCAGAAGAGGACACAGGATCCCCTGGGACTCTGGAACTGGAGTTACAGATGGTTAATAGCAACCACGTGCCACGTGGGCCCTGAAAACCAAACCCAGGTCCTTTGCAAAAATAGCAAATGCAGCTGGGCGTCAGTGGCACATGCCTTTAATCCCAGCACTAGGGAGGCAGAGGCAGGTGGGTTTTGTGAGTTTGAGACCAGCCTGGTCTACAGAGTGAGTTCCAGGACAGCCAGAGCTGTTACACAGAGAAACCCTGTCTCAAAAACAAAACAAAACAAAACAAACAAACAAAAAGAATAACAAGTGCTCTTAAACTACTGAGCCATCTCTCCAGCCCTCAAGTGGCACCTGCATCGTGGCAAGGGGCGTGGATATCTGTCACTTCGTCCCATCTGGATCTGCTCCCTGACATCTGGTTCATCCGTAGAGATGAAAGAGAATGTCATTCTCGTTTGGCACGCCCCTTACCTTTCTTCTTATCTTCCTCCTCATCTTCCTCACTGGCCCCTAAGAGGGTGAAGATGATTCCAGTCTGGGAGTTGATTCCCACAGCAGTCACTACCATCCGTCCAGAACCTTCCATCACATGAGTCCCTATAAAAGGGGAGGGAGAAGGTGAAAACGTGTTCTGCTTAACATTCTTAGCTGCGATTTGGTATGAAATGCAGACTTAAAAGCACAGTGCTCCCTTTCCTTTGTGGACAGTAATCTAGTCAGAAGACAGCGAGAGAAAGCTAAGAGATGAGCTCATTTAAGATGGACCAAGGAAGCAGAGGTTAAAGTTAATGTATTAACTTCATGTCGTCTTCCCAAACAGCAGAGCTCCTGTAACGCTGCACGAAGCACTTCTTTTAGGCTCCTGATGTCCCTGCCTCAGGACCACCCTCGTTCACTCCGTCTGAACCCAAGAGAAGAAAGGATGGAGCCCCTAGAGGGCATGGGGCCCAGAGCCCGTGGCCTGATTACCTGGGGGCCGTGGGATGATAACCTGGGCGACCAGAGGCCATACCTGAGAGCAACATGGGATCTTTGTCCACAGACTTCTTGACATGATCCGATTCTCCTGTCAGAGAGCTCTCATCAATCTTCAGGTCATTTCCCTGGATTAGGATTCCATCTGCAGGCAGCAGGTCACCTAGTGCATAAGGGGAAGAGTTACTGTAAGGCCAAGCAGGGAGGAGCCAACTCCACCATTCCACCTCAGGGCTGCTCTCCGGCAAAAACCTATAGGGCTACGGTCCCATGAGAAGCCGAAGAGCCTCAAAAGGCAACTCTAGAGCTGGGGTGGGGCTCAGTGGTAAAGGGCTTACCTACACTACCAATGGCCCTCGGCTTGATCCCTGGGGTCACACATATCTCAAACTGACAGCTTCCTGTGGCCTAACTATACCTTTACTGCTAAGCCATAGAGAGCACCAGTATGACAATCTCTTGGAAGAGGTTTTTGGCTCTGGTTTTCTCCAGAATTCCTTCCCACGATCTCCTTTAAATTCTACCTGATAACTTAGCACAAGCTGGGGATGGCGGGCAGGGTTGCAGAAGCCCCTAGCCTCTCACGTCAGTGGACTCACTCCCCAAATGTGTGCTGGGGGTGTAGACCAGGGGAGCATGGTGCTCTCACCGTATTTGACCTGGGCGATGTCTCCCACCACGATCTCGGCCACTGGGAGTTGGATGAGCTGACCATTGCGGATAATGCTGAATTTCTGCTCGAGCTCGATGCGGCTCTGCAGCCCCCGGAACTGCTTTTCCTTGCTCCAATCATTGAAGGCCGTCACCAGCACCACGATGATCACCGATGTAAGGATGGCTGCCCCCTCAATCCAGCCGGTTTCTGCCTCCTCCTCTTCCTCTGGGTTACTTGAAACCTGACCACACACTGTCCAGGGAGGGGAGAAAGAGTGGCTGAAACAAGGGTGGCGCTTCCACAACCTCCACGAGATGGAAGTTTGTGGAAAGAGAGCGATGCACGCAGAGCTGCTCTCCAAGGAAATCAGGGGACAGCAGGGTGGACCGTCACCTCATCGTCAGTAGATCCATTCGTGTTCATTGCCAAATGGCACAAGCTATGCCGATGCAAGTCACACCAAGGGCAGGCGCAGCTCACTGCTGCCTCCCATAATGCCAAGCACTATGGTTAGGACACACTGAGATGCAGGTTAAGGACACAGGATGGGTGGTGTCCTGAGTGAGGATGTGGTAGGGGAAGGGGAACCGTTAGGGGTATGGCTTACTAGCTGCTGGCTGCTCTCCTTCGTAGAGCCTGCTGGGTAACAGGAGCACCGTATACTACAACCTGCCAGCCACTGGCACTAAGTATGGTTGCTGGGTAACAGAAACATCGTGTGCTATAATCTGTCAGCTCCTGGTACTCAGTATGGTTGCCGGGTAACAGAAACACTGTGTACTACAGCCTGTCAGCCCCCGGTATTAAGTGTGCTTTGTATATGTTGAGGACCCGGGTCTGCCAGTCTGACACTCACTTTCATTATCTCCGCCAGGGGGTCGATAGAAGGACAGGACCAGGGAAATGATGGCTGCAATCTCCAGGATGATGAGGGTGACATCCTGCAGGGCTTCCCACACTAATTCTAAGAAAGTCTTGGGCTTTTTTGGAGGTATCACGTTCTGTCCAAAAACAAGTCTACGTTTCTCCAGATCTGTAGGATTCCCGGATAGACCTGAGAAGGAAAACAGAGAGAGAGAGAGAGAGAGAGAGAGAGAGAGAGAGAGAGAGAGAGAGAGAGAGAGAGAGAGAGAGAGAGAGTAAAGGGGGTGATATCAGAAGTCAAGTTAAAGGATTCTTTCTTTTTTGTCTGTCTATGTGTGTATGTGTCTCTCTGTGAAAGTATATGCCATGTACGTGTGTGTGCCTGTAGAAGCCAGAAGGGGGCACCATATCTCCTGGAGCTGGAGTTAACATACAGGCCCTTGTGAGCAGCCTAACGTGGGTGTTGCCACCACAATACAGGTTTTTCTAGCCACTGACCAGCAAGATTGTCATGGTTGAATCCCCCAATACCACAGAAAATGCAAAAGCCAGAGTCTAGCACAAGGTGGGTCTTTGCTGAAACAAACTGTGAGTTGTTTACACTTTGAGCACAACGTTCCAAAGGAACCACACTTGACCTTGTGTTGGGACTTCTTGGTGCTGGGGGTGAGGGTGGGGGAGGTCGAGTCTAAAACTATCCTCAAGAAGCAGAAGAGAAAAAAGGTTAAATTGGCTGACCTGAAATACTATGAAGTGGAAGAAAAGGGCAAAATGAGTTATCTTCATCAAGAGGCCTTCGGAGGGGTATTGTATGCCAGCGGCTTTGACAGACATCTATCGTCTGACTTACAAACCAGAAGACTGTACATGGGTTAATAAAAGGCATGAACTAAAAATAAAGTAAAATAAAATAAAATAAAAAGCCCTCTTGTCCAGCTATGGGACCCGGAATGGGGGTGCAGTGGGAATGTGGCCAACCATCCCAGTTTGCTCAGGACTCCAGCACGACAGAACCTTTGAAAGTTTAAAAATGACAAACATGGCTTCAGGATGGGGCCTTTTGTTTCTGGTGACCAGGCTAAGTAGATTCCTCTTCCTCAGGGGCTGTGCCCCAGGCTCTAGCTCTAAGAACAGAAGCACTGGAATGTTCTCTGGATGCACAGAACTCTTCTCTCGAAGGAGCTTGCAAACTCTGGCCATGACCTGGACACGCTCGCTCACACGTGAGGACCAGAAAGAACCAACCAGTTGCCTGTTTCAAGTCATGCAAGGCGGAGGCAGGGGGTGGGGTGGGGCTACCCAAGTGTCTTCATTCCAAGCTGTAGGAGCTGCAGATCACTGAAGTAGAACCCTCAGGGCAAAGTGGCCTTAGGGACGTCGCCCCTGTGTTCTATCTATTAGAACCCCCAACTAAAGTCTGGCTGTTTTACTTACTGTTAAGTACTTTGTATAAACTAGACAAAGTATTTCAGCTCAGGCTGAGTAAGAACCAAGCAAGGCCATGACATTTCCAGATACGATACAGTTCTTGACAACCAGCATTTCCTCCACTAAAACGGAACATGCAACACCCACCCCACTCCCAAGGTGGGGGAAGGGAGGCAGAATTATACTCAGTGGGTTCCCAAGAATTTTGGCCCCTCTTCTGGACCCTAGAGGGGGTCACAGGTAGAGGGAAGCCTTACACAACAGTAAACACCAGTTGGCATTCATTAAGTTGTTTACATAGTGCAGCAATTTCCTTTCTTTTTCTTCCTCCTCCTCTTCCTCCTCCTTCTTCTTGGCTTTGGCACGGGACACTGCTGGCTGCCTGTTTGGTGGGTTTTCCCCCACAGGTAGGGTGGGGCCATCTTTGTCTTGAAAACAGGCCAGCAGCTGAGGAAGCTCAGAGTTGGGGCAGAGGATACGCCATTGAGCTTCACACAAAGTAAGGAAATGTGTGTGCCTGGAAGGAGCAAAGAGTCCAGGATGTCAGGGACTCTCCACACTCGGTCATCGTGGAGGCCTTCCAACGGAGAGGAAAGGGATAGGCCCTGCGTGAGGGCGAACATTCTTCTCTCCCGCTGGACAGCACAGAGCACTGAGATGGGAGGAAGGGGGGGCGGCGGCTAAGCCTTAGGAAGACCTCAAGGCGGGCAAAGATCTTCAAAACAGGCAGACAAGCACACAGGGATGCTGCCTGCAAGGTGGGGGGCGGCTACCATTTCCCAGGCTCACAAAATAGGCAGCAGCCGGGAGTGGAGAGCCCTCTGGCTCTAAGAGGGAGGAGTTGGAAACAGGCTGGAGGAAAAGTTGGGCAGGATGGCATGATTTCCCATCATTCTGTGCAGAGACCGGAGGGCACGGAGGCGAGCCCTTTTCATTTGATCGGAGTCACGGGGCAGGGAACTGTTTGGGGACGCGGTGCCTGGGGCCCCATCACCCAACATTAAGTCCCCCACTGCAGCTGAGCAGCCACTTGGCCTCCGCAGGGGAGCAAGGTTGGGTTCAAGGCACTGGAAGCCAAGTTGAGCTTCTTTCCAGATGTCCCAGCCTCCTCAGCCTGCTGGGCTCTGGGAAGTCAGGTTCCCAAGACAGAACCACAGGGGAGGGCCTGGGAAAAGTGTGTTCTGGGCGGGGCATCTGGATCCCAGGCAAGCAGGGGCAGGGTGGCCAGGAGGAGAAGCTTGCTGGTCCTTTGCCCCAGGGGACCAGAAAGGGCAGGGCTGTGCCAGCTTGGGACTACTGCTCTGGATGGACAGATTGGCTTGAGGGAGACAGAAGTTCAGGTGTTTTGTTGATCGACGGGGAGTTTTGTAAAGATGTAGGGATTTACAACTTACTGGGAGAAAATGCCCTTCCTTCCTTTGGTAAGGGTCGCATTGTGAGGGTGGCCAAGGTGTTAAAGATCAGAGTTCGTGTGGGTGACTCAGCTCTGTATTCCCAGCACAAAAGGGGTTAAGGTAGGGGGATGTCTTTAAAAACTGAAAGAGCTACTAAAGATCATTTTCAGAGACCCCAAAAGCCTTCTAACACTCTCCCCAAAGTGAGCCTGCTTGAGCAACCTACCTCAGTGTGCAGGGGCAGGGTAAACTCTTACCCTACCGGGATGTCATATTAACAGCTAACCATCATTGGGCTCTCTCTCTCTCTCTCTCTTTCTCTCTCCCTCCTCTCCCTCTCTCTTTCTCCCCCCTCCCTCCCTCTCTCTCTACCTCTCTCTTTCTCTCTCTCCCCCCTCTCTCTCTTCCCCCCTCCTCCACCATTGCTCTCCATTTCTCAGCCTGTTCCACAGAGATCTTTTTAAATATGTTAAGGCAACACATGCCATTCTTCTTCCCCAAGCCCTATGTGGCTTTTCTGTGGGGTGAGGCTGGGCACTAAGGCCTCTGATGGCCTCCGAGGGCACTTAGGAGCCTCCAGCAATGGCCGCTTCCTATTTCCCGTCTTTACAGAGCTCTGGCTCGGCATCCCTTCCTTTACTCTCTGAACGTGTCCCGATCCCTACGTCAGTCTGTGCAGGTGCTTTTGTCCCCTCTTCCCGCAACAGAGCCTTCTCTGGAGCAGCCCCTCCCATCCTTCAGGTCTCTGTGCCCACCCCAGCGAGGCCAAGGCTGAGGCACTGCCCATTCCCCAGGTCACTCTCCAGTTTCCCTCCACAGCCTTCTCATCTGTAATACTAAGGTCGGGTTCATCTATTGCTTGACTCCGCATCCCCCTGAGAGCATGGTGTTTGTCTTTGTTCTGGAGGCCCCGAAGCAGCTGAAACACACTCAAGCCTGCTGAAAGAAGTGAATGGATGAGTAATGAATCACGTTACTAACATGTGAGCGACTGCTGTGCAGGTGCATCACCAGGCAGGCTTTGCATCTCACTGAAAGTCAGGAGAGGCAGTTATGAACCCCATTTGACGTGCAAGGCCACTAAGGCTTGGAGAAGTGATGGGCTCTTTGCAGGGTCCGTGTCACCCACAGGACGCAGCTGGATGCCAACCTAAACCCAAAGGGTCCTGGGACATGAAGGCAGTAGGGCTCAATGGAGGCTCCATTCTAGTGTGACGGACTTATCCTGGTTTGCTGGGACTGCCCAGGTTTCAGCACCGGCAGTAAATGGGCAGGTGGCCAGAGGGTTGGCCGCACACTCTGTGCCTCTGAGCAAGCCAGCGCTGCCCCCATGGGCTATGACTGGAGGGGGTTGGTTCCTGCCTTTTTCCTACCCTCAGGGCTGGTGGCTTCATCATCATGGCCCAGCCTAAGAAGCCTGTGCTCACTGAAAGGTTCCTATTGCCTTTTCCGGACTCAAGCAAACGAAACAAAATAGACAATATAAAATAATGAAACAAAACGAGGTAATATAAAAGGTGAGACTTAGCCTCGAGACTTAGCCTCGCCTGGATGATCCCTCAAAGGAACACAGCTGCCCTCTCTTGCCCTTTTCTTTCACACATGTGAGAACGTGTATGTGCACGTGCATGTGTGTACATGTATGTGCGCGTGTGCGCGCGCGTGCAGATTCATGCTTGTACACATACACAGGCTGCACATGGAGCAGTTGGTTCTCTCACTATGTAGGTCTGGGGGATCAAACTCTGGTCATCAGACTTGGCAGCAGGCACCCTTACTCACTGAGCCCTTTTGCCACACCCATTAGTCATCTATCTGCCCCGCCTTCGGGCGCACGGAGACTGTACAATAGCTCCCTTAAGAAGTCAAGTGGCTGTCCAGGTTCCCAGAGTGCTCCGCAGGAGGGCAGGGAGGGCCCTGGATGTTAGCCTGGGAATCCTCTCTGACATGTGGTGCTGCACAGGAAAGCCATGTGGGGCTGGGAGAGCTGCCAAAACCCCAATTTCGGGCTTTCCACTCCATTCTTTCCGCCCCAGAGAGGCTTCCCAGGCCTGATCTCAGCGGCTGTAACTTCACACAAATAGTTGTCCAGCTCAGAAATATGTTTTGGGCCCTGATCTCCACAGTGGTTTCTCAAATACTTACACAGCCTCCCGGAGAGGGGAAGGAGGGCTTGGCAAGAAGGTTACGCAGAAAACACAGGAAAAGGGGGTTCCCCAAGAAATCCATGAGGGGACTTGGTCTCTGAGAACATGAGAGAGACTGCTCCACCCAAACCGAGAGTGCTTCTGGCCTTTAGAGCCAGGCTGAACACACGAGCTGGGGAGGCAAAGACAAAGTGAGTCTGTGCGGTCACTGCCCGTGTGCA